CTTTCTTTCTTTCTTTCTTCCTTTCTTTCTTTTTCTTTCTTTCTTTCTTTCTTTCTTTTTTTCTTTCTTTCTTCTTTCTCTTTCTTTCTTTCTCTCTTTATTTCTCTTTTTCTTTCTTTTCTTTCTTTGTCTGGCTCTGTTGCCCAAGCTGAAGTACAGTGGCATCATCATAGCTCACTGTAACCTCAAACTCCTGGGCTCAAATGATTCTCCTGCCTCAGCCTCTGGAGTAGCTGGGACTACAGGCATGCACCACCATGCCCAGCTAATTTTTCTGTTTTTTTAGAGACAAGGTCTCACTATGCTGCTCAGGCTTATCTCAAACTCCCAGCCTCAAGGGATTCTCCTGCCTCGGCCTCCCAAAGTTCTGGGAGGCAGGCATGAACTACCATGCCTGGCCTAGTTTATTCACATAGCACTGAAACTAAAGCACAAGTAACTCCAAGCAAGGTGGGAGGAATCCTTTTGTTACCAGGGTCCCTCAGAGAAAATGAAATGGGCTGGGATAAATATGGCCTTTTCCAGGCCTGGCTTTTTCCCTTCCTTTTCCACTCAAACCAACTAACTAACTTGTGCTCACATTTCTGAGCTTAATTAAGAAGCCAGAAACTAGATAAGATGAAGCTGATGACAGGGGCGTTGGAGCACCAACCCGGAAGCTGGCCCCCAGGACTCTGTCGGTCATATGAAAATTAAGGCAAATGAATAAAAATAAAACCAGCCAAACTACAAAAGGAAACTTTGATGGAAGAAGACTAGACATTGTGTGGGTTTTCATCCCCATGGATCAGAAGGTCTGGCCACTGGTACCTGGATTCCTAGGGCCCAGGTGGGATCTTGGTCAGTGCCAAAGCCTTGGTCTCTTCCCTGCTCTGAAGCTGCCCATAGTGGCTCCCAGATCTTGAGATCAGACTGACCAGATAGCTCTACCAATAAGGGAGACCCTTTCCGAGCTGGGCTTCTAATCATGTGACACTAATCTGAAGGCCGTTTCTTTTCTCCTTTGTTGGATGTTCTCCTGGTTCCTGATCCTGGGAGAATCTCTTCCCTCTATTACCCTGTTCCTCTCTGGTTTGAATTTCAATCCCTTTGAGTTCTAGCCTGACACAGAAGCATGCTCACAGGTCATTGCCCACGGCTCAGGCTGTCCTTTTGGTTTCCTCAGCTTCTCTGTTGTTGAAGCTCACTCAGAGCCCTGTCTCTTCACTGCCCGTGCGGGCAAGATTACAGCTGCCATCTCAGATGTGACTGCTCTCACCTTGCGTTTACATCACATCTCTGATATCACCCATGCATTCACTCGTTCGTTCAACATATATTATTGAATATCTACGGGCAGGGCATTGCCTCCCGGGTGACACCAATACGCTTTCCTGTTCTGGAGCTCCTCTTCCTGCCAGCTGACCCTCTCCTGTCACAGAAGTATTGTCTGGGGCTTCCTGTTTTTGTCTCACCCACTCAGCTCAACCTGGCTGTCCAACCCATCTCCCAAGTGAGGGACAGTCAGGTCTCCCAGGGCTAGAATCACATGAGGTATTTGCAATGTGAGAAATGGAAATTAATAGATTCTCTCCAAGAAAAGGAGGAGTATTTGTCGTCACAAAGCCAAAATTCATGAGGAGAGTAGCAATGCAGGGTGTAGAGACCAGAAGATCAGAATGAATACAGTCAAGGAAAAGAAAGTTGTTTTTTAAAGTATCCATTAGGCACCAGAACTTTTGAAATCTGTTTTTATTTATTTAATTGCCAAAACCATCATTTGAAGTGACTATTTACAAAGGAAACTGAGGCTCAGGAAGGTCACTGGGCTCCCTGAGGTCACACAGCTGAGCAGGGCTATGAGGGTGGACTTCTGACTCCAAGCCTGGTGCACTTTGCACCCTGTTATAGCTGCTGGTTGAAGATGGGGGCTGAGGATGGAGGGGATTATGTGAGAGTCTTCCATCTTTTCTCTGTGTTGAGAGTCACACAAGCTGAACTGAACCACAGGCTGAAGGTAGAGCCTGCAGCTGGGGTCTGAAAGGCCCCCCAACCACCGACTCTTTGCTTTGCAGAGCTGCACCAAGTCAACAGCTCCCCACTGCTCCGGGCCAGCCACCCCCTGGAGCTCCAGGCCTGGGAGCTGGGAAACAGAGGCTCCAAGAACCTTTCCCAAAGCCCAGGTGAGGGGGGTGGTCGCCAAGAGGAAAGTTGGGGGTGAGGCAGAGTGTGGGGGACCCCCCAGCGGGCTTCTCCTCCTGTCTCCGGGGAGGCTGGGTGGGTGAGGTGGGAGGACAGGAAGCTGAGGGGGCCGGGTGGGCTCAGGACCTGATGGGGAGTCTACTGTTCTCATGCCCAGGCCGCTGTTCCCCAGGAGCTGTGCCCCGAGCTCTGGTTGCCTGGTGGGCCCTGGGACCGCAGCTCCGTAGGGCCTCAAATGAGCTGGTTACTCGCCCTCTCCCTCCAGCACCCCTCTCTCCTCGTGGAAGCCCCATGCAGAGTCAACAGACCCAGTAAGAGGGCATAGGCTCAGGAGGCAGGACCGGGAGGTTGGGGGTGGGATGTGAGCTGGGACTGGATGGGCTGGGGAGGGCTGGACAAGAACTTGAAGAGCAGCACTGACCATCCTGCTATCGCTCTCTGCCCCCAATCAGGCACCTGGTGGCACCCCAAGCTCCATCCTCTGTCCCGCTGCCAGCAGCCCCTGTCCCCATCCTTAGCCCCAGCGGCACCTCCAGCCCCCAGGCCTCTTCCCTCTCTGGCCCCAGCCCAGCTTCCAGTCGCCTGTCCAGCTCTTCACTGTCCTCCCTGGGGGAGGATCAGGACAGTGTGCTGACCCCTGAAGAGGTGGCCCTGTGCCTGGAACTCAGTGAGGGTGAGGAGACCCCCAGGTGAGTAGCCCAAGAGATAACCACAGAGCCACAGGTGAGCATGCTACAGGAGTATGCTGATCCCTTCCCCACTGCACCCTTTTCCACTGCCGCACCACCCTGCTGCACCTGACCATTGCTGCCTTCCTTTTTGCCTCTTCCTAGGAACAGTGTCTCTCCTGCGCCACGGGCTCCTTCACCCCCTACCACGTATGGGTACATCAGCGTCCCAACAGCCTCAGAGCTAGCAGACATGGGCAGGACAGGCGGAGGGGTAGGCTCTGGAGCAGGGAGCCTGTTCCCACCTCGGCCCTGCCCCACCCCGACCCCCAGTGAGGGCTCCTTGGCCAATGGTTGGGGCTCAGCCTCAGAGGACAATGCCCCCAGCGCCAGAGCCAGCCTCGTCAGCTCCTCCGATGGCTCCTTCCTTGCGGATGCCCACTTTGCCCATGCCCTGGCCGTGGCTGTGGATAGCTTCAGTTTCGGTCTGGAGCCCAGGGAGGCAGACTGCGTCTTCATGGGTATGTGAGATCACCCTGCCTTATTCCTCACCTCCACCCCTTAGAGGGTCACACCTACTGTAAGACTCCCCTTGTCCCCAAGCAAGAGGCAAGGCTTCCCAACCATCATCTCTTCATCATTATTGTTAAAACAGCTACTTTGTATTGAATGACTACTATGTCCCAGGTACCAGGATAAGCACTTTACATACATTTAATATTAACAACTCTATGAGGAATATTCTTTATTCCTTTTTTCCAAATGAGGAAACTGTAAGTCAGATAGGTTTATTAACTAGCCTAAGGTCACCCACAGAACAAGGACAAATTGTCCAATTCTAAGGACTCAAGGCAGCCAACTGTAGACCCGGTTCCCCTGCCTCCAGGATTCTCCTGTTGCCCAGATATTGGTCTCCAGGAAAGGCTGCTCCAGCCTCTTCCAACTCTTACTCTCACCCTGTCCATGGAAGGGGCCGAGGAGCCACTGGGCTCACCCCTGCCATGTCCAGCAGAGTGAGAGCATTATCTCCATGTCAGCAGAAAGTAGCTCAGGGCTCCCTTCCCCGCATACCCCAGCAGATCCCACACACCCGTCTCACTAACCCTAACTCTAACCTGTGCCTCTAAGAAGAACAGTCGGGCTTGAGGCTTATGGTACATGGGAGGGCAAGGATTATCCAGGACACACATGCCCATCATGGAGGGAGTAGAAAGATGCCCAGGGAATGGGAGAGTCAAGAGAGGGTACGGACAGATGGCCAGAGCCAGGCAGGGGGGAAACAGTTCAAGCTCTTCTCTCTAAGGAAACCAATGGATTGGGCCCCTAGGGATGTGGCCACTGAGTTGGGGCTAGGTTATGTTTGGCGCTGGGTATATGCCCTTAACTGGTCCTAAACTTTCTGCCCTAAACTAGTCCCTAGAGGCTGAAGGTCAACCCCCCCCATAGACACCTCTACCCTCCCTGACAGATGCCTCATCACCTCCCTCCCCGAGGGATGACCTCTTCCTCACCCCCACCCTCTCCCTGCCCCTGTGGGAGTGGAGGCCAGACTGGTTGGAGGACGTGGAGACCAACCACACCCAGCGGCTGGGAAGGGGGCTGTCTCCCTGGCCCCCTGACTCTCGGATCTCTTCCCAGAGCAGTCGGCTCAGCTGTCCTGTGCCCAAGGCTGGTGGTGAGTATCTGTCTGCCTGGCTAATGTGGCCATCGGGACCAGAGGGGTTCTGGGGAGCAGCCCAGAGGAAGCCCGGGGCCCGGCGGGAGAGCTAAGGAGTGGGAAGGTAACGCCACTCTCTTTCAGCTTCTCCCATAGATTCCTCATGAACTGTGCGCCTGAGACTGCCAAGAAGAGAATCAGAACCACCTCTCCTGTCCGCCCACAAGGCCTGGGCTGTAGCTAGTGGGTCTTGGCCTACACTTCTCTGCAGTTGGGGTCCACCTTCCCTGACCTCCAGGAGAGTTCTCCTTCCAGGATTGTGGAAACAAATGAAAGCAAAACAAAATAAGAGCAAAGCAGACCTGGAGCTCTCAGGGAGCAAAATGTCCCCTCCATCTCACTCCTAGACATTGCTTTCTCCTCTGCTCACCCACTCCCACAACCAGGTCATTTTGGCTGAAGGAGCAGCCTGTCTCCTTCTCTCCCCGCCCACCTGGATCAGGGGAGGTGGGGGAGCCAGAGGTATCTTCATGGAGGATGACAGCGACTGGTGCGAGAGGGCTGTGGAGGAAGGAACTTCTCAGAGCCTCCTCTCAGCCTTACCTGGCCTCTCTTCTAGAGGCAAGCTCGACTCTCCCCAACCACAACATGTAAAGGAAATATAGAGGAATGCCACCCAGGCAGTGAGGCCCTACCTCATGCCAAGGCAAAGGGTTCAAGGCTGGGTCTGGGGAAGAAGCTGGAGGAAGGGAGGTGTGAGAATGTGAGACAAAAGCACCCTCCTCATACCCTTGTCACTATCAGCTTAAGAAATTTGATACCATAAAACTGTAAAGACTTGAGTGCTTTGAGATCGTTCCCTGGGCACCATTTTGGGGAGGACACCTGGAGAGACAGCAAGAGTTACCTGAGTTAGGAAGGGACCAACATTCATTGACACTCAGGGAGTGTCACTCATTTCTGTTCTGCAAGTGAAGGGAGGATGATGTTCATCCACTAGATGTTAAGCAGAATGGAAGAAAGGGAGAGGTGGGGTGTTTCAGGGTCTGCTGGTCTTGCCAACATATCCTGAGAAGACAACTGCTTTCAGCTATCCCAGATGGTTTCTTAATATAGACAAAGTAGTTAAATTCCACAAAACGTAGAACCACCTGCAATGGTTGGCTGGTGAACACTCTTCAAACAAAACAGCAGAACCGAGGGATGGGGCCTTGCAGCAGGACTTCCAGGGCCTGAACCACAGAACGCCATGGCGGGCGGGCAGGTCTGTGACTTCTTTATTGGCGGGAAAGGGCAAGGGGAATCCACAAGTTAGACAAGTTGGGGCGTGGGGGCAGTTTGCTACACAGCATCACTGGGGTCGCAGGGAGATACCTTTAAGGAGGGCTGATTCAGAAGCAGCCCCCCAAACCCAGCAGAACCCAGCGGCTCTTCCCAGAGGCCCCTTAAGGTTCAGAGGCTGAGCTAGGCGGGACCGGGCCTGGGTGCTTCCTGAGTTACATCCATCGGGCCGGTATGAGCTGATTTTCATAGTCTCAGGAGGAGGAATCAGTACTCCAGATACACATCTGTTCCTCTCTATTTGCTTTTCCATTTTTAGATTTTGTTTTTCTTTTAGCTTCCTGGTAAAATTCTTTTTGAAAACATTCCAACCCCGCTTGCCAGCCTGAAGGGGAAAGAGGGATTTGTACACACATAGGTCCAAGTGGCAGGCGAGGGCAGGGCCTGGGCTTGCAGGGCAGCCGCCACGCCCCAGCGGCAGGGCGGGCATGCGCAGAGGTGGAGCCGGCGAGAAGGAAGCAGAACCCCGGGTGGACAATGAGTGGGCGGGCTGTGGGGGAGGCGCTGATGGGGATGATGGCGTTCATGGGGAGGAGTTTTAACAGCTCTGTGCTTGCCAGCCCAATCACGTCTGGGCCCAGTCTGGCCAGGAGGTGCCCCTTGGCACACGCCCTCTGTGAGGGAGTCAGCGGGTCTAGTAAAACACGCTCTTCCTTCCCGCCGGGCTTCCCTCATAAACGCCTCCTTTCTCTGAGTTTTTTAAGATTCTTTTTATTGTGAGGGGCATGTTTCCTTACAGGAGAGTACAGACCCCAAGGAGGCCACTATCAGCACTTGATCCTCCGAAGGTGGGACAAGATTCTCACTATGGGCCATTTGGAGAGTCTCTGTGGTTGTAGCTGGGGGACGGTGGGCTTCAGCTCCTCGGGAAGCAGGACAGGTCAGGGTCTCTTAGCGCCTGTCCCCACCTCATGTTTTGGCAGAGCTCAAAGGGAAGCAGAAACGACTGGTGTGCCCCGGCAGTGCCCTTCTTCCCAGCGTCCTACACGAAACCAGCAACAGGGCCCAGGGCTATGATCAGACTCTTTTTATTGTTTTGTTTTTTACAAACAGGCTTCGGTTAGAAAGCGATGGAAAGGGAAGAGCTGGCTCTCTGGCCGCTCAGCCAATTAAAGCTGCAGAAGCCAGTGGGCCTCGGCCCCGCACATCGCTGCGGGAGGGAGGGGGCACCCGTCCCAGCTCTACTTTGCTCCCACGTGCTGCCCAGGGGAGGGGCTCCCACTGCTCCTGTGGAACGCCCGGCATTCCCATTGCCTCACTGAGGGTCATCTTGGTTCCTAGAGAAAGAGAGAGAAGCGCTGTTTTGTAAAGCCCAGGCCCAGGGCACACAGGCCGCAGGCGGGCTCAGCCCTTCTCCCAGTCTGGTCCTATGATCTCCAGACCCCACCTCTTGGCGTTTCTGTCCTGGCCTTTGGCTCTGGCTCCGGCTCCGGCTCCGGCTCCGGCCAGGGCCCCGGGAGCCCCGAGAGCTGCTGGAGCCTCTTGAAGAGTTGCTGCCGGCTGTGGAACAGGTGCTGGTGCCCTGGCCCCGGGACAGGAAGCTTGGTCGGCTGTATGGGAGCCAGGCCTCTTCTGCAGCACAGGAGGGAAGGGCAGCGGGCCCAGGCAGGGAGAGAACATCACTGCTCGCCCACCTTGCCACCCGACCACAGTGCCAGCTCTGGGAGAAGACTGAAGGGCAGGCACAGGGCTCAGCAGCCTGGGGGCTGAGAAGCAGAGTGCCGAGCACACGGCTTTGACATACAGGTGCTCAGAACCTGTGGGGAGCTCCCAAGCAGAGGGAGCCTCGGGGGATGGGGGACAGAGCACCCAGGCCCCACTTTTCTCTCGTCTGGGCTTCCGTCCTGGGAAAAAAACAGAACTTGGGGACTTCAAGGGACTGTGTTCAGAGAGGGCTAGAGAGGCAAGGGAGTCTTTGATGTGGATCAAATGCATGAACCCAACTGAAGGGAGGGGTGAGCTGGGCACCGTCAGTCCAACTATTAGCCCCCAGTCCCAAAGCCCACCTTCCCCTGTGGCAGCGGCCCTCCTGCCTGCCCTGGCCCTCCTTACCATCTGGGTGGGGCCCCCGCTGGGCCCCCAGGGGCATGGCCTGCACCACTCTCCTCTCCCCACTGCGCTCCCGCTCCAAGGAGGACATGCTGCCTGCTGCTCGCAGCCCTAAGGCCCAGTTGGCCTCTTCCTCTGGCGGCGGTGGCAAGGGTGGTGGGGGCAAGTCTAGGGAGGGACCTGCCTTCAGCAGAGTCTCCTGCCTCTCCTAACACTAATCTTCCTCCCACCTGCTCTCCCAGGCACCAGGAGGCTGCCAATGAACAGCCTTCTGATTTGGGTCCAGTTGCTCCCTCCTCCAGACCCCAGAACTCACCCTCGGTTCCCTGCCTGCACCCCCCAATTGCCACCATCTCCCAGGCATGGCTCCTCACCCCCAGGACTGTGCTCCCTCCTGTAGGGAAGAGCCCTGGGTTTCTTCCGGATCCGGGCACGGGGTCCTTGAAGCGGAGGAGTCATCTCCCCAGGCACCTGCCGGGTTCTCCCTGTGGTGTTAGGAGATGAGGGGAGGGACGAGTAAGGGAGAGGGTCAGAAGAGGCCTGGGGTGAGGGGGAGAAAGCACTGGAGTGGGTACAGGCAGGGGGTGAGCTCACCTGGGGCACTGCTGGCTGTGCTAGGGGCAGGGCTGGGGCTGAGGTGATGGGAGGTTGAGGGGCCGGCACCGAGGCCAGCAGGCCTCCCTTCATGGCTGCCCAGAGTGGGCTGGGAGACACTGAGAGGGGAACTTGGCCCAAGGGGCACCCTCCTGCAATGACATGAGGCCTCAGCATCTGTTCCCACCACAAAAACTAAGTGCCCACTATGTTCCAGGCACTGTGCTAGACATTCAGCCTAATACTCAGATGAACAAGACATAGCCCGTCTCCCATAAGACCTCCTAGGCTAGGGAAGCATGAGGAAAGCCATGTTGAAAATGCCTCGGGAAGCCTGCAGAGTCACTCCAATGGAGAGACAGTCTGAAGGGAGGGATAGACCTTGTTAGCCTCCACGCTCCTGCCCAAATCACACTTCCACCCTGACACAGCCTTGAGACCTCTGTACCCCAGACTCATCTATCCATCCATCCATCCATCCATCCAGTCACTGAATAGATATGTACCTAGCACTTGCAATGCATGTGGTACTGTATACCTCCCTACCTGGGCATCTGATGGAGATGGGGCATGTCATTGGGGGGCTGGGGAGGGTCAGGAGGTGAGGGGGTAAGAGTGGCTGTGGACTGCTGTCCATAGGAGGGTGTGGGAGAGGGGATTTCCCCTCGGGATGAGGTGACCGGGCACCCTCCACTGGAGCTGGGCTCAGTCAGGTGGCTTCTCTCAGGCATTGGTGGGCACCACTCCTCTGGCTCTGAGCTGGGGGAAAGAGGCAGGAGAGAAGTTGGAAGGATGAGTAGCTTCTATACCTTGTCCTTGGCCTTCATGTTGCCCCCTTCCCTTTCTCTGCCAGCATCTCTGCTTCCACCAGGAGCCCCCAGGCTGGTCCTCAGTGTGTGGGCAGCAGCATCAGGAGCATCCTTACCCGCCCTCCAGCTCTGACTCAGGCCCCTCCAGGCAGCTCAGTTCACAAGAAGGGGGAGGTGGGGGCAGGGCTTCCGGCCAGTGCAGAGAGGGCATCTGTGCAGGTTTCCCCAGAAGCTTCACTTTGCCTCCCCTGGCTCCTGAGGAGAGTAGGATGGGGACATACCCAGAACAGGCAGGAAAGAGCCAGAGATGAGACAACATGTCAGAAGGAAGGGCCAGGCTAGGTGCCAGAGGGTCAGGGTGCAGGATACTTTTTGGGGATATTCTTGTCAGGAATAAAATGGGGGTGTTAGGAGTTGGGGTCATACCACTGTCCCCCTGGCTCCACTCTGGAGGAGCATACTGGCTCCAGGTGCCTGGATCCCCTGAGGGATGTTGGGGGAAACCCCCGTGGAAGGTCTGAAGCTCCTCCGCTGCTGGGTCAATGGTGCTGTAGACGGGACCCTCGCCAGGGGCGGCAGTGCCCCGGGCTGTCTGAGCCAGGTATAGGGAGATTCCTGCTTCTGCGGAGGAGAAAGAGGGAGGCCCAGGGGAGGAGGGGGCAGAGATAGAAAAATAGAAGACAACAGGAGAATGGAGGGCAAAAGGAGATCCCACGAGATCAACTTCCCCCACCCCCTCCTTGCATCCCAACCCAGGGTAAAGGTCAGGTCTGAGAGAGGCTCCCCCAACTCACATCCTCCCCAGGGGCTGACAGACCTCAGGAAGACTGGGACTCCTCGGCTCCCTTCACTTTGCCCCAGGAGGCTGAGAGAAGTGTGCTGGGGGCCAAGTGTGCCCCTGAGGGAATTAGAACTCCTCACCATTGTAATATCTGTCGTCTGGGTCAGGATTGCTGGGGCAGCAGCTTCCCCTGGGCTCCTGGGCTGAGGGGCTTCGAGAAGGGCGGGGCCACGAGTCTGCCAGCCAGGGGTAGGGGGCAGGGCCGAGG